TTGTATTCTTCCTTGTGACATTGTATTCTTCCCTGTGACATTGTATTCTTCCCTGCAACATTGCATTCTTCCCTGTGACATTGTATTCTTCCCTGCAACATTGTATTCTTCCTTGGAACATTGTATTCTTCCCTGTGACATTGTATTCTTCCCTGCAACATTGCATTCTTCCTGTGACATTGTATTCTTCCCTGCAACATTGCATTCTTCCATGTGACATTGTATTCTTCCCTGCAACATTGTATTCTTCTCTGTGACATTGTATTCTTCCCTGTGACATTGTATTCTTCCCTGCAACATTGTATTCTTCCCAGTGACATTGTATTCTTCCCTGTGACATCGTATTCTTCCTTGGAACATTGTATTCTTCCCTGTGACATTGTATTATTCACTGCAACATTGTATTATTCACTGCAACATTGTATTCTGTGGCTCTTCTGTCTGGCAACATTGTATGTTTCTGGAATTAATAACTCCCACAACACTGAATTCTTGTTTCAACTTTGTTCTGCCAGTACTGACACTGTAAGTATCTGAAAACCCCACAGAAAGGGTGAAATCCAGTCCGTTGATGCCGGGACCCGCCCTCAGATGCAGTGAGCTCGTCCTGTTCTGTTGACCCCCTTCATGGCACAGCAAGTCCATCAGTGCTGCTGCGCAGCTGATGTCCGTAACTTTATCAACATTTGGGACTGATTGCATTATGTTGGTCGGGGTGAAGATGATTAAATCTTGGATGCAATATTAACATGATAAGCCCATCATGCAGATTGTCATCACATGAGATTGTTTCAAATCATTAGTTTGTCTTGTGAGTGCGATGGTGTCGATATCACAGGATGGCACACTGGAGGAAGTACTCTGGACTCGGATTAAATTGAATTATTCATAGCATATTCAATCTTGTAGGATCACAATCAATTCATACCACACTAAAGCTTCATTTCATACAGAGAAGGGATTAAATCAGATTTTTTTTATTAGAATTGTCAAATGTTCTTAAGAATTGGGTTTATTATAACTAACTTCATGTCGACCAACTCTGTTTGTTGTCATGCGAACTAGTGTGTATTGAAGAAGAATTTCTGTAAAATTGTCATCAGTTCCTTAAATGAAAATAAATGAATGAAATCTGGATGAACAATATACAACCGCCCATCGTCATCTCAATGTTGAATGGGTGGGTGAGTGAGTGAGTTAGTTCTGGATGGGTTGATGGTTTGGTTGGTGGGTGAATGAGTTAGTTGTTGATGGGTGAGTGAGTGAGTGGGTGAGTGAGTGAGTTAGTTCTGGATGGGTTGATGGTTTGGTCGGTGGGTGAATGAGTTAGTTGTTGATGGGTGAGTGAGTGAGTGAGTGAGTTAGTTCTGGATGGGTTGATGGCTTGGTCGGTGGGTGAATGAGTTAGTTGTTGATGGGTGAGTGAGTGAGTGAGTGAGTTAGTTGTGGATGGGTTGATGGCTTGGTCGGTGGGTGAATGAGTTAGTTGTTGATGGGTGAGTGAGTGGGTGAGTGAGTGAGTTAGTTGTGGATGGGTTGATGGCTTGGTCGGTGGGTGAATGAGTTAGTTGTTGATGGGTGAGTGAGTGAGTGAGTGAATGAGTGAGTTAGTTGTGGATGGGTTGATGGCTTGGTCGGTGGGTGAATGAGTTAGTTGTTGATGGGTTAGTGAGTGAGTGAGTGAGTTAGTTCTGGATGGGTTGATGGCTTGGTTGGTGGGTGAATGAGTTAGTTGTTGATGGGTGAGTGAGTGAGTGAGTGAGTAAGTGAGCGAGTGAGTTAGTTCTGGATGGGTTGATGGCTTGGTTGGTGGGTGAATGAGTTAGTTGTTGATGGGTGAGTGAGTGAGTGAGTGAGTGAGTGAGTTAGTTCTGGATGGGTTGATGGCTTGGTCAGTGGGTGAATGAGTTAGTTGTGGATGGGTTGGTGGGTGTTTGGGTGGGTCGGTGGCTGATAGAGTTAGTTCTGGATGGGTGAGTGAGTGAGTGTTTTGCATCATAGTCACCAATGTTACAGTATATCACTGCAATCTTCCTGTAACTTGTGTCTGGACCGGATGTGCTACAATCAGCTCAATCAGTAACACATTTGTTGTCACCTTGTATTTGTGTCATCATGTTTCCAAGACAATCCAGTGATTGACATCATAAGCATCGATCCACACAATAGGGATATGATGACATCAATGCTTGCTGTAAGAGGCGACTAATGGGATCGGGTGGTCAGGCTGGCTGACTTTGTTGATGCATGTCATTGTATTCCAGTTGTGTAGATCAATGCTCATGACATCAATCACTGGATTGGCTGGTCCAGACTCGATTATTTACAGTCATATAGCTGGAATATTGCTGAGTGAGGTGTTAGACAACAAGCAGAAAGACAAACAGCAGCCTTGGACAATGAAGCTGTGAGTAACTGAGTAATCTGCTACAACCTACTTGTTGAGTAGCAACAAACCAAGCAAAGAGCCCTATTTGCCTCTGGTTACAACTGATCTGAAGCCTTGGTGACACCCTCACCTGTCCACCAAGTGACAGTACAGTGTTCAAGGTGTTGTAAACTGTGTAGGCCACACAAAGTAACATGACAAACGTCATGCCTGGGATAACACTTTCTTAGTAAAGTACAGAATCTCGTACTTTATTGGGTTGCGTCCAATCCCGGATTTGCACCCACACTGCCAGAGTGAGGCACCTAATTACCAGCACACAAAGTCAGCGATCTAACCCACTCAGCCGCCAAGGCTTCCACAAAATGAAAGTCTGACAACTGGTAGTCTAGATCACGTACTTATTGTACCCTTCGGACAAGTGTCAACTGGCACGGCTCCCATGGCCGAAAGCGAAAACACACAGAGCCATTTACTAAGAAAGTGTTATCCCAAGTATAACATTTGTTACATTTGAACACTTTGTTAATGGCATTGAGTATTCAGGCAAAGTAAAATATTATAATGACCCTTCAAAATAAGGGGTAGAATAGGTCTTCAGCAACCCATGCTTGTCTCCCTGTGAAGATCCGGGATAGAATAGGTCTTCAGCAACCCATGCTTGTCTCCCCATGAAGATCCGGGATAGAATAGGTCTTCAGCAACCCATGCTTGTCTCCCCATGAAGATCCGGGATAGAATAGGTCTTCAGCAACCCATGCTTGTCTCCCCATGAAGATTCAGGGTAGAATAGGTCTTCAGCAACCCATGCTTGTCCCTGTGAAGATCCGGGGTAGAATAGGTCTTCAGCAACCCATACTTGTTCCCCATGAAGATCCGGGTTAGAATAGGTCTTCAGCAACCCATGCTTGTCCCTGTGAAGATCCGGGGTAGAATAGGTCTTCAGCAACCCATGCTTGTCTCCCCATGAAGATCCGGGTTAGAATAGGTCTTCAGCAACCCATTCTTGCCGTAAAAAGTGACTATGCTTGTCGTAAGAGGCGACTTACGAGATCGGATGGTCAGGCTTGCTGACTTTGTTGATGCATGTCATCATGTCCCAATTGTGTTGATCAATTCTCATGATGTCAATCACTGGATTATTTACAAACCGCCGTCATATAGCTGGAATATTGCTGAGTGGGGCGTTAAATAACAAACCAACAAACAAACATATTATTTCAGATCCAACTGTTTCTTTTGTAGCCATTATCCTAAGAAAAAATGCACACATCTATACCATATAAATAATTGGCGAAAATGTATCCATAGATGTTTGTTATTTAACAGTTTTTGTTTTTTCCCTTCCTGCCATCACATATTGTTTTACAAACCTCAGTGAAACAAGATTACATTGGTCTGACCTTACATCAGGTGTGAAACCCAACTATAAATAATGTAGACTGTATATTGGGGTTTATGTGCAGACAAGTATTTGTTGTGTATTTTTATTGCACTTCAGTGGTTGAAGGGAGACCGTGATTCCCTGGCGCTGACCTGCACTGTGTTGTTGTGGAGCGGCTCCAACAATAGGGGAGGGTGAATCATGGACCAACGTATTGTCTATGAAATCTTTCATTACACACGGCATTCTCTCCTCTTGGTTGTTAATGTTTACAAACTGAAAAATGATTTTAGATGATCCCACCCTTGTGTCTTTTGATATAAAAAATATAAAGTGTGCATGACTTGGAATTTTAAACTTTTTTTTTACTTGTGTTGTGTATGTTTGATATGTCAAGACACAAGGGTGAGATTCTCTATGTATTCCACAGTGAGAGGGTGAGATTCTCTATGTATTCCACAGTGAGAGGGTGAAATTCTCTCTATATATTCCACAGTGAGAGGGTTGGGGGGTGAGATTTGTTGCTACTTTGAACAGTATTCCAGTTATATCACGATGTGTCTGCTTTATGTGGGTCGTCGATGACAAATGTATGTCTGATTCCCCAAATGGCTACAATGTATGAAGGCCACTTTAGTTGTACCCTGGCATGATATTGCTGGAATAGTGCATGCATCAGCGTAAAAAACTCACTCACTCACTCACTCACTCACTCACTCACTCACTCACTCACTCACTCACTCACTCACTCACTCACTCACTCACTCACTCACTCACTCACTCACTCGAACACAAATATTTTATACTACTCAAAACAAGTTAAAGAACACTAAATTCTTTCACATTACTATAGAATTATATGGCATATGGCATGTAGTAATATGAAAGAATACGGTGTTCTTTGTCTTCTTTTGAGTAGAATATGTACATGTATAATATTTCTCATTGCATCAATATTTATTTAAATTGGACCTGCCTCAGAGCTTGTTTGTGTGTGATGAGGAGACAATGTATTGATGGGTGACAGACGGGAGACAGGGATTACGTACAAGTCAGTCATGCATGACACTGTCGGCCTCCCCACAACACAGAGCTATTAATTAGGATGATTATTATGTAATACTTGAGCCATAATCTTGCACTGTTTATATTTTAATTTTTAATTATGCCTCACTGAGTCATGCTTTGTCATGAGACAGGCCTTTGTTGGTAAGCTGGGGAGGAGAAAGGAAGAGCCAGATGATTCAGTGTGGCTAGTTTACGTTCTGTGTTGTTATTGTGTAGGTGTGCTTTGTTGTCTTCGGTTGGACCATTTGTTTTGGGACTTTTGCTTTTAAGGTAAGTAAATTTAAAGTTTACCTTCAACCATTTTACATCTGTGTCAGTGACGGTCATTGTTGTGTTCCATATGTAATTCCATCAGCTGACAAGGTTTGTCAATGCCAGAAGTTGTATGGAGTACATGATCTGTTTGTGAGACTGCTAAACAAAGTTAAGGGGAGTCTAATTATGGGGAATGAATTGCACAGTATATCTGACCACCTCCGGGATCCCGTGAAATGAGTGGATCGAGAGCCAAAGGATGATCCCTGTTCATGTAATACCAAAAGGCGTTAAAAGGACTCTCATGATGTCAATCACTGGATTGTCTGGTCCAGACTTGATTATTTACAGACCGCCGTCACATACCTGGAATATTGCCTAGTGCTGCCTAAAAAAACAAACAAACAATCACATGAAGCAATGGACCAGTGAGTTTTGTTTGGAGAAATGACATCATCCAGTGTTGATAGCTACCCCAATAAAGGATGTTGGGGTGATCATCGAGTGACTCATACTTGATACTTTCAGTTCTATTTATTATATATGTTTTATTGACATCAGTCTAAACATCTTTGAAACAGACTTACTATAATTGAGGCTTAAAGTGATACACACGAATGAAATAAGTATAGTATTTCCTCCCTTATCTATAATGCATGTTTGATTGGTCCCCGGAGCTGTTTTCCTCAAGTCAAGATGAGGATGACTTGTCTCCTTGGGCAGATTTATCTGTCATGGTGAGATCAGATGAAGGTCAGAAACGTGCCCTTCCAAGTTTCTTTTTAAAAGAGTATTGTTCATGTCCGCCCCAGATGTCCGACTCAAAGGTTCAAGCCAAAGTGTGATTATATTTTAAAGATGAAAATCCACATGTTGCCATGGAGACTTATTTTTTAAAGAGTTTGAGGAATGACTATGTTATGTGTATTTGCACTTGTCATGTTTCGAGGGACAATAAAACGCATGTCCTCCCTTGTACCGGTATTACTCACAGGCCCAGGACAACAAAGGATGAATCAATTTTCCCCGCCGTCCCCATTACACAGTGTTAATGAGCTTCTACATCGGTCAGTTATTGAACAGATTGTTGCATCAGCGATCTCTAGTCACACGGCAACAAATATGAGGTGTTACTTAGGACGTTTGCGGTTTCCAGCCATGAGTAGGATTATAGCAAATTGTTCCCCAAGTAACGATTATGCATGTGGTATGCATATAGAGTGTTGCTGATCATCATCCATGTGTCGTGACTCACTTGCAAAGGTGTATAGTGTTGCAGCTGTACTGATGTTTGTGGTTGGGCTTTGCTGGACAACATGTTTGTGTTTCCGTATCCAAATGGCAGGCACGATGTCATGGATGTTGTAGTGAGACTCGGAGACCTAGGAGATGAATAGATGATGTTCTCAGATAGAGTAGGCCTGGAACGTTGTGTATGTAGGATACAGAAGTTGTTGTCTATAATGCTCTTGTCATGATACTTTTAACTTCTCCATGCCCACAAACACTAGGATAATGATAGGAATTTTGATTGATCCACAAGTTTTAGAGGTATTTAAATTGTTTTTACCCACCTGTTTTTTACATTTGGGTATTTAACTTTAAACCTGTTTCGTAACAATTCCTGTAAAACATTTAAGCCTGTGGGAATAGTAGTATACCCGTCTGTGTCTGCTTGCGACTTCCTCTCCGGGAAGCAATTTTTTGTTGACAAAACCTAGCATGTTAGAAAGGTGCTATTGTTTTAATCACCAATCAGTGACTTATCAAAATACAACAAAAACATTGACTAGCACGATGTGTTTTTCAATTGGCATCTATCAGTATGTTTGTCTTACAAGCTTTTCCGAAAGTAACTGTCGGTAAGTGAATTTGACAATCTGCTGATACGCAATCATTTTATCTAACAGTTGTAATATACACATCAAAGAGGGTATTTATAGATTTTGTTGCATATTTGATGCGCTTGGATTTGATTTGTGTGCGCATTTCAGTTAATTTAATGCATATTTTATGCAAATATGCAGCTTATCTCAAGCTCTGATAATGATTATGATATTGCAGCTACTACTACTACTACTACTACTAATACTACTACTACTACCACCAAAAATGGGCTTATTTAAAGTACTAGTACTAATAATAATGGTATTAATAATGATGATAATTATGATATTGGTATTAGTATTGATAATGAAAATGACAGTTGTGAATAAGCACTTAACACCACAGCATTGAGAGATGCAGGATTTAGTAACAATTGGTTTCCTGGGACACAGTTTCTCGTACTGATACTACCTCCCTACCAACATTCACTGTTCAGGAGTACAGCTGGACCTGCAGTACCTGTGGCGGTCATCTCTCCCTGTCCGTGCAGGTGGACAGCGTCGGTCCACACAGACATGCCCCTCTGTTGATACAGTTGCTGCTTTCATGCAGAGACGGTTTTATTGCCTGATTCTACAACTGTATGAAGAAACCTGTTGATGCATTGGACCACCGTGAAGAGGCTTATGTGAGACAGAGAGCACAATGGGGTAGGGTAATTTGTGTTGGGGGTGGAGAAGGGGTGGGGGTCATTCTGAGGGTTAATTCTAAATGGCTGGCCTGTGTTTAAGGGAGGAGACAGGCTCGGCTATTGTGTGGCTTATTCCAATGTAATCAGACACCACTTGGGTCCTTTCTTGAACAATTACGATGTTTATTTTGGAAAAAAATGTTTGCCTGCTGAGAAGAAATTCACAATTTAAAACATAAATCGTGGAAACTGGATCTACTTGAGTTTTTTCTCGGCTGTGAGGTGCCATCTTTCTTTGTTCAGTAGGAAGTCGGGTGTAAGAAGTGGAATGTTTATCTTGGTAAGAGATAGGGATCCTTTAGGTACGCTGTTTACATTTTCAAATAATAACATCATGTTTTGTTTGAAGTGTTGCTGATGAGACTCACTCACTCACTCACTCACTCATCCTGTTACTGTCACACTCTCACTATACCCATGGATTCACTCACTCACAATTTCACTCACTCATTCACTCACTCATTCACTCACTCACTCACTCACTCATTCACTCACAATCTCACTCACTCACTCACTCTCTACCCATGGGGATTCACTCACTCACAATCTCACTCACATCTCAGTCACTCACTCTCTTGCTATCACGTGTCTCTCACTACCCATGCAGATTCACTCACTCACTCACTCACTCACTCACTCACCGATACCATTAACAATTCAGTCCTTGTAAAGTTCCTGAAAGGTAAGGAAAATAAGCCCTGCACCCACTTCCAGACTGATCTTCCAGGGGATCAGTCAACAGCATGTCCATGGCTTGGGTGGCACACGCTGTGTGTGTAGTGTAAGCCAGAGTGTTACAGTAGGTCTGAACTGTGTCTTCCTGCGTGATCGATTGATGCACTGGCGACATGCAGCCGCGTTGCTGATCTATAAACCTGCCTTGTATATTTCTACTGCAATTGCACTGCCATCCTTGGGTCAAAATTTACGAGAAATGTTCATTATTCAAGCCCTGTTTTTCAATGCTGAATTAAAGTTTTTGAATTGCCAAAAAAACTTGGATTAATTTATTGTAAGGAGTGCGTGCATATAGCTGAGAGAAGTGTTCAGGATCAATAAGTTCTACTTATCCCGCTCCTGTCATAGAACTGCCAGTATATTGGGAATATGTCTCAACTAACACAGCAGGGCTTTAAGATTGATTCAGATTCCAGGACTCCCTGTTATCCAGAATGTCCTAAAGATTCTTGTAGGTATAGATGAATGTCCCATCTAAATGCCCTGTTGCCATTAGTCCTGTGCAAAATTGCTGCATAGCTACATGGATCATGATTTAAAAACACCACTTCAAATTCAGGTTCAAGTTAACTGAACAATGTTTTATCATTATTTGTTATGTTCTTCTAGAAACGTACCACCCCCTCACAAAACAACAACCCTCCCCAACAACAAAACAACAGCCTGCCCTCCCCAACAACAAAACAACTGGCCCACCCCAAAAACAAAACAACAGCCGGCCCTCCCTAACAACAAAACAACAGCCAGCCCTCCCTAACAACAAAACAACAGCCGTCCCTCCCCAACAACAAATCAATGAACCGACCCTCCCAGACAACAACCAACCCTCCCCAACAACAAAACAACAACCAACAACAAAACAACAGCCGTCCCTCCTCAACAACAAATCAATGAACTGACCCTCCCCAACAACAATCAAACAACCAGCGCTCCCCAACAACAAAACAACAACCAACCCTCTCCAACAACAAAACAACAACCAACAAAACAACAGCCGGCCCTCCCCAACAACAATCAAAACAACCAGCCCTCCCCAACAACAAAACAACAATCCAGCCCTTCCCAACAATAATTAAAACAACCCTCCCTAACCCGACAACAAAACAACAGGCCTTCCCCAACAACAAAACAACAGCCAGCCCTCCCCAACAACAAAACAACAACCAGCCTTCCCCAACAGCAAAACAACAACCTTCCCTCTCCAACAACAAAACAACAGCCGGCCCTCCTCAACTGGTTGGATGCTAGGACACATCCGTCCTATGTAGGTCCTGCTTGTACAGCTGGTTTGACAGAGTACTGGGTGGCACCACAGTGTGGTTGTCATATTCCCACTATCCGTCATTGGTATCCTGGACTCCGCTATACTGGCTGCTGTCAGACAGCTGTATTGCTATCCTGGACTCCGCTATACTGGCTGCTGTCAGACAGCTGTATTGCTATCCTGGACTCCGCTATACTGGCTGCTGTCAGACAGCTGTATTGGTTCTGACTGCAATACCATTCAGTCCAGTTGGAGTGGTTTCTTGGGATGAACTTAATAAAGCAGTCAAACAATGAAAGTCAGTGCTGGGTGTGATGGCTTAGGGATGGATGATGACTGTCTCTGGACTTCTATGTTGAAGTCTATAACTAGCAAACTAACTTGTCAACTATATGTGTCCGCGTGTGAGGTTACAAGGGCTCAATGTTTGTACAT